GTTTCAGGGGTACACGTGGAGGTTTGTTATACAGATAAATTGCGTGTTGCAGGGGTTTGGTGTACAGATTATTTCACCAACTGGATGATGAGCATAGTACCTGATGAGTAGTTTTCCATCCTCACTGTCCTACCCTGAAGTGGGCCCTGGTGTCCTGTTATTCCCTTTTTTGTGTCCTTGTGTTCTCAACGTTTAACTCCATTTTTACATGAGAACAACAAAGCACGGAATTAATTTTTATGCATAATAATCTGAGTAAAGCGCAGTTGAAGGATCTTGGAGTCATCCAGGCTTGCTTCATATTTTATTCCTATTGGATATTTGAGTCTCAGTGTTTCTTCATTATAAACCTGGATTCCCAGTTTAAAAACACTAGTGTTATTTCTGAACCATATACATTTGCTTATTGCTTTATTCAGAAGGTAAAGTTCAAAATCCTTGTTAATAGCCAGTGGAGAACAAAAATAACTACCTGCTATGTGTGACCTAAGATATACTTTAGGTAATTAAAGTGTATTTTTGTTGCCTTTGTTACTCTTATTCTGTGTTCTTATTTCCTAAACTGGAGCACTAAAATCATGGATGTTGAGATTCAAGCAGCGGTGATTTTTCTCTGAAAATTCCAGAATTTGCTTGTGTATCTACAGTTTCTTACCTCTCTTTCTTTTTTAAAAGTAGGAACTTTGCCATCCTTTAATCTCTACTTCTACCATAACAGTGATCACATACTTATTCTTAGTGTATTTAATTTAATTTAAAAAGCTTACCTTTAACTTTGAGAGGCTAAGGCAGGTGGATCACGAGGTCAGGAGATGGAGACCATCCTGGCCAACAGGATGTAATTTTGAATACAAAAATTCAAAAATTAGCTGGGCAAGATAGTGCATGCCTGTAATCTTAGCTGCTCGGGAGGCAGGACACTGAGGCAGGAGAATCACTTGAATCCAAGGTTGCAGTGAGCACCACCTTACTCCAGCCTGGCGACAGAGCAGGACTACATCCAAAAAACGAAAGCTTACCTTTAAAGCCTTCCATACCCTAAGCCATAAAGGCAAGATGAAAAGACATACATCCTTTTTGGAAGGCATTAAAATCAAAGCCTGTCCTATCCCCTGGATCTTCATTGCCAAAGAGTGGGTAAAGCACACCTGGTACAAACACTTCTAATTCTTGTTTTGGTGACTCCAGAAACAAGCATGTAAACTAACAATAGCAGAAATTCAAATTATGACTGCGAATATCATTGTTGTGAAGGCATAGGGAAAATTGATTCTAAGAAGGAGAAATAGTAGACATTTCCTGGAGATGGTGACTTTGGAGCTAGATCTTGATGATGCCAAGGATGTTCACAACCAGCAACAGCAAGAGATAGGAGGAGAAATGTGAATGAAGTGTGCTGGGAAACGGCTTCAGGGTACTGGCTAACATTAACTATAAGGAATATTGGGTTTGAAGGAAAGAATGAAGAAGAACCAATACTTACAGCAAAACTTAATTATCATAAATTAGCGTGAAGGTTCAGATGATAGGCTGTGGATGTAACATAATTATGCATCCTGAACAGCTGGTATCCTGTGTGACCCCTGCAATATTTTGGAATGATTGAGGATATCTGGAAGGAATACAGTGATTATGGGATTGCAGTTGGAGAATGATTAAGGATATTTGGAAGAATACGGTGATATGCATATATTATGGGATTGCGGTTGGAGTTGGGGCTGGGAGGTATCAGAGTCTATGAAGCTCTGCCTGTCCAATTCCTTGGATCTTCATTGCCAAAAAGTGAGTAAAGCTCACTTGGTACATACACTTCTAATTCTTCATTTGATGACTCCACAAAAGTCATAGCTACTGAAAAGCCTCCTAGTAAAATGAGTAATAGCAACACTAAATGGACTGAAATTTTATGGAAAACCCCAAATAGTCCAGCATAGCCAAGATTTTTGTCTGGGAGAAAAGGAGACTAGGTTGCTGAAGACCTCAGGGATGCATTTCTGGGAGTCAGGATTTTTCTCCAGGAAGTGGGACAATAGGAAGCAGGAAGAGCAGGATGGGTCGGAGAACCTGAGCTTTCCCAAGGAATCTCTGGAAGCCGTCACAATGTGGAGGGAAGAGAAATTAGAGGTAGGGAGATTGCCCTTGGCATAATAAGTGTCCAAGAAGAGAAGTGAGGATATCTTACGGACAGGAATGCTGGCAATGAAACAGACAGCAGTGCAGACAGACCAAGTACCAAATTAGGAGTGTGGGCCCCAAGTGTCTGATGTGTCTCTACTGGGAACTGATAATCACTTGGGGACCTATCTTCAGCTATCTTTTGCGAAATAGAATCTGTGAGTTCTTAAGTATTTGGCATAAGATCTTCTAAAAACTGTCCTTTCTTTTTCATATACTTGCATGCTGACCCCACCCATCAACGTTATTAGATTTTATTAGAAAGTGAAAGCTCAAAGACATCGAGTAACTTACCAAATTCATTCGTATACATTATCAATAGAACCGGGCCTAGAATCAAAGATAAACAAAAGATATTTGAATGCATGGAAGAGAAAAGCTTCATCTTTCTCTTTTTATTTCCAAATAAGCAGTAACATTGGGATATGCTGCTCTGTAATTGTGTCATCATATGCTTCTGAAGCAAAGAGATATTTCTATGGAGATATTTAAAACAGTCAGGAGGAGTACCCATCCCCGCCACCCACTGAAAGAGAATGTTTCTGTGACACCTTGCTCTGCCCAAGCATACCATAGCCTTAGTGTAGACAGAGTAGTTCCTGGAGAGCAGGTGCAATGCTGTCACTTTTCTTTGTACTCTGAGTAGCAAGATGCAATCCTGGGAAACAAAGTTTGAATAAATTAAATAATTGTTGAATACTGTGTAGTAACCTAGAATTGCAGTGCCAGAAAGGATGTGAACTTCAAGTACAAATTTCTCATCTTGCATATGAATTATTTCGATAGTATCTAGTTTCTTTTTTTTTTTTTTAAGAAAAAAAGAGACACATCTTTGGTTTTATAGTATTTGCATAGCTCTATTTTTTAAAAAAGTTCTTGTAGGAGACAACAATATGCCTTTCGTCAGCTTCTACTTATTTTTTTTAGGTCTGTACACTGCTAGTACAGAATCTAAGTCTGATTCTTCAGTATTAGCATGAGAATGTGCAAAATCAGTTTGGAATTAGTTATGATATCAGTAGTAAGCTGTGAAATGTCCATGTGATATGAAGTCTTTCAGAGGCATTTAGTTTGCTTTACAAGCAGCTGCAGGAAATTACAATTAAATTTCTGTAAGGGACAAAACAATTATTTTTAAACTGAGAGTTGATGAGGTTAGTTCTAGCATATATGCCAGGTGTGGAACAAGGAGAAGGACTCAGTAGCTGGAAGAGCTGCCACTTAGATTCACCCAAGGGAATATCTAACTTGTCTGATTTTACATCACATAGCTTTCAGTTCTGTGTACTTTATACAAGAAATTTACATGTTAATCTAGGGCTATAATAAAACACTTTCAGAAAGCTCTACCATTCTAAGTGGGACATAACATATTTCACTCAGGAAATTTTTATTTTGAATGCTAACTCAAAAAAAAAATCTGCCTGAGACTTAAGGAAAAAAAGATTTCATAAGAGCAAGTTAGTATAACTTATTTGTTTCTGATAAAACTGAAGAAAGTTTCATTTCTGTTGAGCTTACTTTAAAACCTGTTCGTCAATGCACTAACATTGTACTTGCACTGTGATAGAAAACAGCATTTGCACTGACAGATTTTACAAGTGAAGGACATGTTGCCTTTAAAGATTCTATAACTGAAGAATGTAAGATAAAAATTAAAGGAAATTCACATATAAAAGATGGAAACAGGCTGAGCGCAATGGTGCACAACTGTAATCCCTGCACTTTTGGAGGCTAAGGTGGGAGGATCACTTGAGCTCAGGAGTTCGAGACCAGCCTGAGCAACATAAAGAGACCTTGTCTCTACAAGTAATTTTTAAAAACAATAGTTGGATACGGTGGTATGTCCTTGTGCTAGCAGTGACTTGGGAGACCGAGGTGGGAGGGTCATGTGAGCCCAGGCAGTTGCGGCTGCAGTAGGCTGTGATCATGCCTCTGCACTCCAGCATGGGTGACAGAGCGAGACCCCATCTCAAAAATAAAAAATAAAACACAGATGCAAACAGTAGAAAGGTATGAAACTCACTTAACCTATAACATTTTTGTGCATTTAGCAGAGTTTTTTCTCAGAAAAATTGCCCATCAAAATGAATTTCTAAATGAGTCATATTTTACACCATTTTCCATTATATAATCAGACACATTCTGATTGTATAGTAGAAATCAGCATAAAATAAACCATTTCAAAATGTAACAAGACCCGAAGTCATATTTCAAAACAATGATTAATTACTATGCTTTGAAAAAATCAAATTGCCTGTAAATGAAAGTTGACAGAAATATATCTTACAGAAATTTTACTGTCTAATATTTGACTTTTATGGCTAAACTGTAGAACTATCTCCAGTTTCAATATTTGCCCAATAATGCCAACACCAGCTGCGTAGCTAATGCTGAACCCAGCCAAAAGCAAAATATTTGCTCATTTAGCTAGACCTAGTTACCACATACTTGGCAGTTCTATAATGCAGGGTTTTGATAGCGCTGATTAATAATGAAAAATAAATTTCTAATATATGTGCAAGAATTTAGTATTAGCTGGATTTCTAAACTGATGCAAAGAACATCTGGTTAATGTTGATGTCAATTTTATATAGACATATATGATTTCAGAATGTATATATTATATGCATATTACACATACATGTCTACAAATATTCTCTAAAGATGTAGTCACATATACAGAAGCATAATATAAATATCTGCAATAGAATGGATCAACCTAGGAATAGCTCACAAATGTATCAAAAACAAGGTACTTTTACTCAATGTTGAGACATACAGCTTATTGCATCTTTGAATCATTTTTCTTTGTTTTTTAACAGGTTGTTTGGTATCAAGTCAGTAATTCAAACAGACTGTTCCAGTACTTGGAAGATCATAGTAAACCCGGACCTGTCATGGTATCACCATGCCAACCCTATCCTGCTGCTGGTGATGTACTACACACTGGCCACACTGATCCGCATCTGGTTGCAAGAGCCCCTTGTAAGGATGAAAATGTTTTCATGATCTTGTCTGCAAAGTAACCTAGAATCTCCAGATGAAATGATTCACTCCCGTTCTTTACTGACTAATCAATACTGTATTCCAACACCACTCTAGTGTTCTGGGTATAATGTTTTAATTCTACAAAGAGTATTAGGTGAATATGAACACTACTAGATCAAGGACTAGCTTCCCTTTACTAACTAATACCACAACGTGCTGCTAAGAATGGCAGATGGTGAGGAGAATGGAAGACTCATTTTTGCTGATCACTTACTGTAATATGCCAGGTGGTTGTCATACATTATCTCATTTAATACACTAAATAACACTAAAAAACTCTGATCAATAGAATAGGCATTATACTCATTTACAGATGAGGAAAATGAGGTTAGAGATGGCAGTTTTTCTAAAATCACACATTTACTGGATGGTATAAATCAGATTCAAACCCATATTTGAGAGCAAGGCTTGATTCTTAGAGACACACACCCCTGCTGTCAAGCGGACTGGTGTTTCCCAAATCTCCTCCAGCCCTTAGCCTGTGAAGATGTGGGAGTGACAGCCCAGCTCTTGGTGGTGCCTGTTGCCTCCTGAATATCCCATTGCGAGGAATGGAGATTCGGATATTCCTTCCAGCACAATTGAGGGTGTTTATTTCCTATGGGAATGTGAACAAGGACACAGCATTTCTGAGGGGGGGACTGAAGCCTAGGTGGCTTCTTTTCTCTCTTTTCTCCTTCAGTGACAGAAAACGTCAGCCTGCTTTTCTTTCTCCTAAATGACTGTCAGGAGCCCAGCTGTGAGGTAGCTTACTGACACACGAAAGAGACAAGCTGTGCAGACAGGGTCATCACACCTTTTCATGCCCCACCTGCGGGAAGCCCCATAGCTGGGGACAGTTCTCTTTAGCACAGCCCAGCCTGAGTCTCTGCATTCCAGTCCCGCCTCCTCCAAATTGCTATCCCCACATGCTAATCAGTAAGTCACTCAATGAGTATTTATGGAAGGCCAACTGTGCCTGACACTAACCTAGGAGCTGGCATAGAGCAAAGAACTCGGTAGGCAGGGCCCCAATAAGAGAGCTGTGCATTCTAAAAGAGAAAAATTGATCCAAAAAAGCAAACAGCATGTGAATCAGATAGTGACTGTAAAACGGCAGGAGGTGTCCCTCCGGTCATCCCTGGCAGAGGTGCCACCTGCGGAAAGGAGGATGGTGCTATCTTCCTTCTGCATGGCACCCCCTCCCCATTGCAGGGGCTAACAGCCATCTGTGGGATGAGGGCCGCAGAGGCCATCCTTGTTAGCAGGGTTCTCATGGATCATCTTTCTTTCAGGCCACTGATGACAGTTGTATAGTAACAAAATGCTTCATGGGTGGTGAGGAATCCCAGTCATCTTGTGTCATATTTTTCTTCCATTTTCTTCTACAATTTGACTATATCAGTAAAATTGTTAAAATTGTGTCCAATTCCTTCACAAACATGCATATGAATATGTATATATTCACAAATAAAAACATGTACCTAAAAATTAAATGTATGTGTATATATATATATATTTATGTATATAAATACTGGAGTGCAATGTATATAAAGACTGGAGTGCAATGGCACTATTTTGGCTCACTGCAACCTCTGCCTCCCAGATTCCAGTGATACTCCTGTCTTAGCCTCCTGAGTAGCTGGGATTACAGGTGCCCAACACCACGCCTAGCTAAATTTTTTTTGTATTTTTAGCAGAGATGGGGTTTCACTATGTTGGCCAGGCTGGTCTCAAACTCCTGAGCTCAGGTGCTCCACTCACCTTGGCCTCCCAAAGTGCTGGGATTACAGGTGTGAACCACCGCGGTGGGAACTATTTCTGAACAATGTCTTACACATTATGGAAATTTACTTTAAGGCTTTCTGGTTATTAAGATTTCCCAGTCCCTTTGCTTTCTCTGGGGTATCCCATGTCATCTCTCAGATAATGCAGTAGCTTAATGAGGGCTCTGTTATAACCATTAGGTCCGTGCAGTATTCTGCTTCCACTGCCATGTGCTGTCTGGCGAGCAAAGGCAGACAGAGAGAGAGAGAGCCAGAAAGACCATCCAGGCTATAGGCCACACAGCAATAGCGATATTACAAATCACAAGGTCTGCAGGGCTATGTGGAGAAAGGGGCTTAACACTATCATCAACATGTCAGGTGGGCTGTTTTTTAAATGGGCTGGGACAGAAGGCCCGTTGCATTGAGGCAATGAGAAAAAGAAGCTGATTATATCATAGTTCCAGATGACCTGGTGCATTTAATGAAAAATGCCAGCCACCAAATGTAAGTGCTGAGATAGACATCTGTGAAACATATTCGAAAAGGAGAGCAAGAGAAGTCAGTGTCAAGACTTCAGTGTAACATATGGCCCCGCCTGGCAAGTTTAACGCCCCACCCACAGAGTTAGGGTGCCCCACTTAGAAATCCTCCCCTGCTGCACTGGGACCCAGGAGTTGGGCAGCGAGACTAAGTCCACACCACTCCAGTATCAGCGACGCGTGACTGTCCTTTTTACTAGGACGCTTTTGTTGGGAAAACATGCTAAGGCACTGAAGTGCTTTTGTTCCTTGTATTCCTCTCTATCACCTCTCCTAGATCAGTTGTCTAATTTAGGCAAATGTCTCATGTGCATTAGATATGCTCTTGCTTAGTACGGTGTGAGCTCTAGATAATCTGCCTTTAATACATTCAGTCTTAACTGAAGATTGCCAGTGGCTGGCTTACACGGGCAACTGCACACCTTTGTGAAAGCTCTTACTCTAAGAACCCTGTGTGTAGCTGCTTCTGAGTGCAGTTGAGAACACACATGGAAAAGCTGTGGATATTTAACACTGGAGTATATTCTGTAATGAATGGGGCTTAGTAGAATCAGGGGACATTTAATATTGATGTGCTTATCAATTACAGGGTAGCATTTTTGTCATTTTTGAAAGTGTCTTGATAAAATCCTGCATTCTGTAAATACTCACTTTGAAAAATCATCATATTGAGCCAAAATGAAAAGCTCTCTCTTGGCCACTTAGGCTGCCTAGGGAACTGCCTCAGGAAGCTAGGCCAATACTGTTTCTGTGTTTCAGGTGCAGGATGAGAGGACCAAAGAGGAGGACAGAGTCCTGGCTTGTAGCCCCATCCAAATAACGGCGGAGAGAAGGCGGAGCCTGTGGTATGCAACCCACTACCCCACTGATGAGAGAAAAGTAAGCCATGATGAAAGGGATTTCCATTCCCTAATTTTTCTATTTTTATATTTTACTGTTGAATATAGCCTTATACTATCACACATATAATATCATATTCAGGTTCCTGGTACTTTATAGAAACAGTTTGATTTAGGAGGGTTAGTACCAGAGAGAGAAAACTATTTCCAAAGGAAATAACCAGGTCCCGTCAAAAGCATCATTTTATATTTCCATGCTTTCTACTGAAATCTCTTAACCTTAAAAAGAGCTTTCCTAATTTAAAAAATTGTAATTAAAACAAATAAAAACAGCAAAGCAATCTGTTAGCACTGGAGGGTAAAAATTTCAATGCTGAACTATATTGCAGAAAATAATTTTACTCTGTCGGGTAGGTGGCCACCGTGGGAACTCAGTGACCACTTAGAGAAGACCCAAATGGGAATGTGACTGAGGATCTCTCACTAGTTTGAGGCAACTGAGTGTACTGACAAGGAAAAGTGGGTCACAATTGGATAATTCAGATAACTCATATAGTACACATAATAAAGAATATGTAATTCATATAAACTTTTGATCATGTATTGGCCATTTTGGACTGAACTCGGTCAGTGCTGTATTGACTTGTGAAAATGGCCTGTTTACAAGGTTGTAAACACAAATACTCTTAGAATTTTTGGATGGGGTCGGCATTTTGCTTTCCAGCATGTTCTAGAATTGAGGAGCGGGTTCTCTGATGGTTTTTATGGCCGTGAGTTTCTCTAAGACGCACAGCCCTACTCTCAGCACGGCTACCCTGTGTTGAGCAAGGGGACAGTAGTGAGTGAGCTGTCTTAGGGGGACAGCACTGTGGGGCAGAAGTGGCACCCTAAGGCATCTGGGGATTTCCCAGATGTTTCCTCTATTGCACTTCACCAGGTTTCAGGTTATCTTACGCATTCCACTAAATGATGAGGAAAGCCCAACTTTTTTTAAAGTGAGGCCTGTGGATCTGTGGGGGTCCTGAGACCTTTGCAGGGATTCTTAGGCTCAAAACTATTTCTGTACTAATACTTAAGATCTTTGCTTTGATGATATCAAAGCAGCGGTGGGTAAAACTACGGGCTTCTGGCACGAACCAAGGCCAGGGCACCAAAGTGCAGAGCAGTGATTGCAGATCGAGTCCTTCACTGACACGCTCTGGAGGAAAACAAAAGAAAAAGGCTAGTTTCACATAAGAAAGTTGTGATGAACCAGAAGACTTATTACTTTTCTTAAATCTCCACCTTGACATGCTTGTCTTTTTGATATTCTGTGTGACAAAATGAGAAGTCTGCCTAACATGCCTTATATGAAGTGTGACAACTGTCCGTATGAGAAGTGCAGACCTACTCACTGAAAGCATTAGCTAAACTCACTGTGTTTCCGCAGCAGACTTTTACCTGAAAGAACAGCTCGTGGACTAGCATGGCTATTCTATTTGAGTTGGGCATTTGGCAGACAACTGCTTGAAAATAAATGAAGTGAGCTCATCACTTTGAGGCAAACAACTGACAGTAATTGTTATCGGTGATAAAATTTAAGCATTTGAGTAAAAATTTGAATTTTGTAAAACACATCTAATGAAGGCTTAAAAACTTTCCAGTATTTGAGGACTTTTCTGATGAGACCGGGGTGATATTGACAAATGTGCTTTTTATGCATAGCATACTGAAACATGTCAGTATTTGGTAAAGTCAATACCTGTAACTCACTGAAACAGCAGTTTCCAAATCAGCACCACCTGATATGACAGCGTGTGGGTAAATAATCCAGTTGGGGTGCATGATACGCCAGTGGCACAATCTTGGCTCACTGCAACCTCCACCTCCCAGGTTCAAGCAATTCTCCTAAATCAGCCTCCTGAGTAGCTGCGACTACAGGCACGTGCCACCATACCTGGCTAATTTTTTTGAGTTTTTAGTAGAGAGGGTTTTGTCATGTTTCCCAGGTTGGTCTCGAACTCCTGAGCTCAGGCAGTCTGCCCGCTTCAACCTCCCAAAGTGCTAGGATTACAGGCATGAGCCACCGCATCCAGCCCTAAAATACTCATTTTTGACCCAACTGCATATTTATATGAAGCCAAATTTTCTTTATCTACTTCAACTGGAACACCGCATCACAGCAGATTGAATGCAGAAACAGATATGAAAATCCATTTGTCTTTTATTAAACTAGACATTAAATAGATATGCAAAATTGTAAAACAATGATACTCTCTTCACTATATGTTTTTTTTAAAAAAATAGCTATTTAAATAACTTATTTATATTAACACATAATGGGTTTTTTAATTTTTTAATCAATAAATATATAAGTAAATAAATATTTTAAGAATACCTTGTATAATTTCTAGTATGGCAGATATTGACAGATAGACACACATAAATACAGTCTCTTTGGAGCCATCAGTGATTTTTAAGAATGCAAATGAGTCTTGACCTAAAAATGTGATAGAACCACTTGCTATGCTAATTATTATTTGGGGGAAACGGAAATCGCCTGGTAATAATGTATTAATAGTTAAAAAGTAGAGTCATATAATAATCATTTTGTTGTAGACAGTACACAAATCTTAATCTCAAACCACATTACAAATCAATTTTTCTTTCTTATGAAAATTCTATTTCTTGAAACGTAAATACATTCAGAATTCTGCAGATGTCTCAAAGGAGTGTAAAACTAAGCAGCTTATTCTTGTAAAACATCACCCTTGAAAAACCTGGTAACATTTATAGACGTGTGGTTGCTTATCTGTTGTTATAACTAAACATTAACATCAGGAGCTGTGAAATAGTTGTCCTAAACAGCAGCATCCAGTTCAATTATTTGTCCCTTTATATTTTGCATGGCAATTTTAATATACTAGCATCCAACAAGTTAAAGAGAATGGGTGTGTGCACAGTAAAACTTTATAGATACATAAACAGCAAAATGCTTTTAGCTTCCTTAACTAACGTGCTTCCCTGCATTGCTTTTTGCAGCTTTTGTCCATGACCCAGGATGACTACAAGCCATCTGATGTTAGTATACCCTTAGAATTATCATTTATGCATGTGTAAGTGATATAAAAGTGCCAGAAATGGAAGTCGCTCCTTTAAGTCCATTTTAATGATCTATAAAATTTCCATAAGCTTTTCCATTTTTTGGCATAAATTATATCTGGTAGATTGCTGTTAGAATGAGATTGAGTATAATCATACAAAATATATTTAACTTTTAACAAGCTTTGTGGGCTTTTTAAAAAGCATTTTGTTCTGTAGCTATGCTTATTACATAAATGGGAAGTTTCTCATGTCCCTGGGCGCACATACACATACGTATAGGTGGGTGTCATGTTTATCTCAAAAATTGTAAAGTCAAAGAGACAGAAGGAGGAAACAGGCAATTGCCCTTAGTGGTGTAGTAAGAACATTGCAACCTCCAGTCAGCCAGAGATCCCCAGAAGGTGACCTCTCAGCTAAGATCCAAGGATGTTTGCCTTAGTCAGGCGCAGAGCCACATAGGGCATAAGGCAGGACAGTGCTGGACCATGGCCCAGGAAAGGTCTAGAATCCCATATAGCTGGAGGGATGGCTGAGAGGTGGACAGTAGCAAAGACTGAGGCTGGAAAGATCAGAACAAATCTTGAAGGCCTCCTTCAGCCTTTCACAAGAGTTTGCTCTTCATACTGAGGACGGCGGGTACATAGCATGGTTTATGGCAAAGTGCAACAAAATCAGATGCATATTTTCCTGCGATCACTCTGTGGAGACTAGAATTGGAGAGGGAATGTAAAAGATTCCTCTTACTAAAATAATTTGGACAATTGGCTAAGTTATTTAGCTTGCAATCGACTCCTCACTGTTTGATTAGGGTGGAAGAAGGGAGGTGGGGGTATGCCTACATTGAAAACCCAGACCTGCTGTGACAGGTGTCCCTTTCCCTGCACTCCCGGCAGGGCCTGCTGGTGACTGTGAATGGCAACCCTGTGGATTACCACACCATCCACCCCACCCTACCCATGGAGAATAGCCCCGGCAAAGCCAACCTCTATTCCACCCCTCAGTACCGTTGGGAGCCCTCTGATGAATCCTCAGGTAGGAGCCAGCCCTGGGGGCACATGCTGTACTCAGGGTTGTACTTATCCCGCATTTAGAAGCTTGGCCTTTCTCTATCTTGTTGTTGCTGTTGTTGTTGCTTATTTGATTTTTGTTTTAAAACAGAGGTGTTATCTTTCATGTCAGTATCATTAAGCTCATTTCTTTAAGCTCTGCCTGCATTTTGCCCCAGCATATTGCTAGTTGTGCTCTATCCTTGTATACAAAATAATTGACTTAACTGGGGCAAACTTTGAAAATAAAAGGTGAAAACAATATTTTAAACATGTTAACTTAGGTATAGCATATATATTATGTATGTCGGTCTTTCTTTAGTTGATATTATAATTATGGTCAATGGTTTTTCTGGTTAATTTGTACGTGGGGTGTGTGTGTGTGTGTGTGTGTGTGTGTGTGTGTGTGTGTGTGTGCTCTGTCTCCCAGGCTGGAGTGCAGTCGCAAGATCTCAGCTCACTGCAATCTCTGCTTCCCAGGTTCAAACAGTTCTCTTTCCTCAGCCTCCTGATTAGCTGGCACTACAGGTGCTTGCTGCCATGCTCAGCTAATTTTTTGTATTTTAGTAGAGATGGGGTTTCACTCTGTCGCCCAGGCTGGTCTTGAACTCCTGAGCTCAGGCAATCTGCCCACCTTGGCCTCCCAAACTGCTAGGATTACAGCCGTGAGCCACTACACTCAGCCGCGTGTTTTTTAAGAGTTCTTTTTTGTCCATTAAAAAAAACGAAGTTGTCTAAACTTTTACAAGTCTTTTTCCTCCCTTTTCTTTCAGTTTTTTATGTTGAAGAAGAGCATTAATATTAAAGATGACAAATTGGTAGCCTGGAGCTAAGTTTCACTCTCAAATTTCATTTTTGGACTGTGCAGCATTTTAAAAAAGTTTAAATAGCCATCACTTTTTAAAAGCTGCACTTCTGACCTAGAAATGGACGTTTCTGGAATCCCTTGAAGAATGTGAAGGTCTGGCAACACTAGTCCCTCAACTCTACAAAACAGCAGTTAGCTGGACCTCTATTGCCATTGCTCCTGCAAGGGACCAATTGCCAGTCACAAATCCATAAAGACAGAATTACAAAGTGACTATAAAACTCGAGTGGATTTGCATCTCTATTTGTATGTAATTACAGTCAGAGCTCTCAGACCTTGTCCTGCCTTAGTTCGTGGCCAGCAGCTCTCCAATTTGCATCTGTAGTACATCATGCTTACTCCAGGGGCCTTTTTTCATAATTCTTTATCAGACCTATTCTGATGTCTATTCTTCATAATTCTGTATCAGTACTTCCTGCAATTTCTCCACAGGGCTTCTTAATACTTAACTGTACAACTGGTTAGTCACATTATCCAACATTCCTCAGTGAGGTTAAATCAAGGTCAGCCACCACCCCCCCGCCACCCTCACATCCAACCCCTGATGGCACCTGATAGCTGCACAGCGTCGAACTCTGCTGGGTCGTTCCCCATTTCTGCTTCCTGCGTGCCTGTGTTTTAGTTTGCGGCTCAGGCTTAAAAGGGAAAGTTCAAGGAAACAGTCCTTTCGAGTGTGCTCTTCAGAGCATGGACAATAGAAGCAAAGAGGCAGGGCCCTAGAATCGCCATGTGTGGCTTCCAATGTTTGAGCTGTTGGGGTCACAGCCTATTCACCCTCCTACTTACCCATCACTTTCCTGAGAACAAATAAATAGAATTTTGACTGCTGACAAGGTCAACCCAGACATACTGAAATCATAAATGGGCTTTCAAAAGTGAAACAAAAGCGGGAAAGCTTTTAAAAATTGAATCTATATACACAAAAAGTGTCACAACAAGAAAGGTAGCGTGGAAGTAACTCTAAAATCCATCAGATTTGGCATTTTCACCCCTGTCTATGACCCAGGGGCTTTTTTTGTATAAACCCCAGGTTCATCCAGTCCTACTGCCGGAGGAATGAGAACCAGTGGGCTTCTGCCAAGGACACGCCATAGTCTCATTGTGCAGCCCATGTGGAGTAGCGTGCACAGTCACTGATTTTTCGGTCATTTATACCTCTTCTTTATGCTGCTAGGGAACTTTCTGCTGTAACCCACTTATATATAGCCCATTTGATTTGAACAAGAAAGACAGAAAGGACATTCTACTTACTGGCTTAGAACAGCACTTAGTACGGTACACTTTCTCTGGACCAGAAACCTGGGCATCACTAGGCTGGTTCCTCTGGCTCAAGGTTGTTCATGAGGTTGCAGTCAAGCTGCTGGTTGGGGCCGCTGTCTCATCTGAAGACTCACCTTGGGGGGAATCTGTTCCCAAGCTCACTTGTATAGCCTCAGGCTCTTGCTGACGCTGGCTGGCGGAGCCATCAGTTCTCACACTTTGGGCTCCCCATAGGGCAGTTTACAGCATGGTAGCTGGCTTGTCTGAGGACAAGCAGGTGAGAGAATGAGAGAGAGCACTCAAGGTGAAACCACAGTCTTTTTAAATGAATCTTGAAAGTGACCCTTCGTCCACTCTGAAGTGCCCTATTCGTATTAGAAGCCTGTCACAGACCCCACCCACACTCAAGGGGAAGGGTCAGACAAGAGCATGAACACCAGGAGGCGGGGGCTCTGATGACGGGCTTATAGGCTTCCTTCCATACCCTCTCACATGGAAATTTTCCTTGCTCAATTACTATATGCTGGGTCCCATTACACTGACCAGGCAGAGCTTATTGATTCTGCTTGAATTCTAAGGGCTTTATGAATAGGAAACAATTTCTGAAGTCTTAAATAAAAGGCTATACCAAAATCATACATGTGTTGCATCGATTGGAACGTTTATACAACCGTCACATTTTTGCATAAATAGTTAAATAAAGTATTTGTCCATCTAGAAAAGCCAGAGGAGGAAGAGGAGGAGAAAGAAGAATTTGAAGAAGAAAGGAGCCGTGAGGAAAAAAGAAGTATCAAAGTTCATGCCATGGTTTCCGTGTTCCAATTTATTATGAAACAAAGTTACATCTGTGCCCTCATAGCTATGATGGTATGTATGATATGATGGTACATATGATATGATGGTGTGTAAGAAGTGATGGTACACATGATATGATGGTATGTACTATATGATATGATGGTGTGTATTATATGATATGGTATGTGCAATGTGATATGATGGTATGTGTGATATGGTATGTGTGATCTGATGGTATATATGAGCAGCAGCTGCCAAGGTGCTAAAGAAAGGAGACCACAACCCCGCTGACTCTCAGTGCTGTTACCCTCTCAGGGCCAGCAGAAGTATAGGAATCTCCCTGATGCGTTGGCAGAGAATAGTCAGCTGTGTTAATTTTTCATAGGATATTTGTACTACAGATTGTAAAGTTATGTCCTTTTCAACTCTATTTATCCTCCTTTTAAGTATTAATACATTTCTTTCAAGTTAGCTTATCAAGTCAGACTATCCCTTATTTTGCCAATTTGAGAGGGCATATGAGGCAGGTTTTCTTAATAAAATTGAATATCTTCAAGGTTAACATAGGCTCCTTTTATTCCTTTCAGATAGTAAGAGTTATATTCACATCATTTCTTAGATTTGGATGAGAAGTTATTCCATCTTAGCTGCAATAACTTTTTACCAATATGAGCATCAAGCAACTGTGCAGTTCCCTAGAGCGTCTTCCAATTGTCAGCTCTCGGTTTATGCGTGTTTCTACTCATCATCTGCAACATCACAGCTTCAAAATAGTCCCTTGGCCCATAGATAGAAGAGAAAAGAAGCTCTAATCTCTCCCTTTCCTAAAAACAAATTTTCTCAGAAAATTTGATTTATTTTTGAGAAACCTAACATTCTTGTTTAAAATACAACTCTTCCAAATTTTGTGGTCAACAGTGAGACCCTATGGACACCTCTGATGATAAAAATAAAAATATTCTATAACTCAAGGGAAATAAAATCGAGACACAGTTTCCCCAGGCACTCAATCCAGGTGCTTTCCAGATGAACCTGTGCACTGCTCAACTTCAGTTTCCAGTAAGGAACACGGCCGCATTTGAGAGGAGACTGTGAAAAAGAAAGCACCACAAAATTGCAGGTGCTAATTTGGGGACTGCCAACACCATTCTTTAAATAAAATTAGTTCTGTGTGTTTTTGTTACTTTTTGACCTTTTCTCTACATCAACCGCGACTTTAAACTGCAGCAAATCTTTGATTCTGAACTCAGAAAAGTATTCTCTTTTTTCTCTCTCTCTCTCTATGCCAGATAATTTTGGTCTTTTCTGTAAAGCAATAGAACTAAAAAATAAATAAATAAAGTAAAATATTTGACTATACATTTTCTTACTTAACTGAAATAAATCTATTGCAAAAATAACACAATTCTTTATTAAAAACGTGCCCTCGTCTGGTAGCATTCTGCGGTGTTAATGGAGCCACAGTATTAATGCTTTAAGAGCTCCTGCCTTCCAAGCCGTCACTCCATGACTTGGGGTCTCTGTCACTCCACCACAACTCTCTGCTCTCCCTGGTTTGCGTATTATTGACATTTTCTTTTCAGATAGCTTTTACCTTACAGGGTGGGGGGACTGAGCATTGTATTGACCAAGGTGTTGTTTCCTTTTCTGTCCTCCGGAGGCCTGGAGCATCACTTATCACAGCTGGCTGACCTTCGTGCTGCTGATCTGGTCATGCACTCTTTGGATGATTCGCAACAGAAGAAAATATGCCATGATCAGCTCTCCCTTCATGGTGGTTTATGGAAACCTATTGTTGATATTACAGTATATATGGAGTTTTGAACTTCCTGAAATTAAAAAGGTTCCAGGATTTTTAGAAAAGAAAGAGCCAGGAGAACTTGCTTCCAAGGTAAGTGAATAGAATACAATATAACAAAGCAATGACACAAAACCACAGTCATCATCATCATCATATCCAAGAGAAACCTTACCAATATTCACTGCTTTATAAAAACAAATAAATATGAGACTGTAAGAAACAATTTACGGTGCTTAGAGGTATCCATAATTTAAACATGAATATATATTACACCATGATTTAGCGTTTACTTAAAAATTTTTTTTCCACTCAAAGTTGTATACATTTTTAAAAATATATATATATATATTTAATATATTCTACTAAAGTAAAAATTAGATGTGAAAATGGAAAAATGCAAGGTAAAATGTGTTAAGGGGTTTCAGGGCTCTCTTTGATTATCAGTTTATAAAACACACTTAACACATTAGTGTTACAGATAAGTATTGATTATTCATGATATTTTTCTCCAATTCTGTCGTAAAGAACATTTTAACAGCAAAAATTAAGTATGACATTTGCTTTTTTTCTTCTACTGATTATATGATACGTCTTTATCTGAGTTAGAATGTTCATACTCTTTTCATTACTCATTTGTTTTCGTGGGCCATTTTAATGGTTTTTATTTCAAAACATTAGGTTTCCCAACTTACTGTTTGTTTTGTTAACAAAGCGGCAGACTAAACACACATTTCCTTTGTGTGAATAATTTTGTTTTAAGACAGTAAAAATAAACGTGTATATGTTGAATGGGTCTTGGAAGTTAGTATCTCTGGAGGAGGCGGTCATTTACATCACATGAAATTCACCTTTCCTAGGAGCAACTGCCTGCTTTAAGGGTTATCACACACCCCATATCCAAGTTAATCAGGGTAAATGGGGTAGAGAAGACGAGGGCAAAGTTTGGTCTTCATAACAGATTTTTGGGTGAAGGGCTACTGGGGTAAATGAAACACATTCTAACAGGTGAATTCTAGTGACAGCTAGAGGTGAGAACATAACCCCTGTGTTCATGTACCAAGGGAATTTCATTCATTGATTCATTCATCCCAAACTCCCATGCCTGCTTCTTCTCCTTACCCTGCTCCACGCTGAAAAATCCCATGCTATGCTCTCACTTACATGTCAGCTTTATCTAATAATCTTGCTCTCTCTCCCTCTCTTTCCTCTTAAACACAGACCCACACACAGATATTCACACACAACTGGTTAAGTTAGTCTGCTTCTATTTTTAAAAAATGAAAATTATATTCTTTTGACTGTGTAAATTCATCACAGCCTGACTCTGAAACTGCTAAAAATGCATGCGAGCTTACTAGTTGAGTTATCTCATGTCGAATCTAAAATTAACTGTTCTTTAGGAGGAAAACATTATTTGGGAAATAAATTTGTTACTCTTGGGAAAAAAAGTTATTCTGGGAATCTAGGTCTGCACTTACATTTTAATGCACCCAGGAACTCAAAAACAGTGAAAAGTTTTGTCATAGGGGATAGCAATACATCTCCAGGCTTATAACATTTCTATCACAATACCATTTGTAAAGCACATTTTTAAACACACACTGTTTACGGAGTACTGGATGAGTCACTGTGATGGAGAGAGAACAGAATCTCGCCCTCAGTCCTCAAGGGTCTGAACCCCTTCCATGGAGCCAGACTCACGTGCTTGGCAGCATTCCTCAGTCCCAGATCATCTCGTTTCTGGCTCCATCAAGCACTATCAAGGCCTTTTATTAAATAACTCACCTTCTCTAAGAATGATGTCCCACCTGCTCTCAATTACCCTTAACCTCTCTGAATATGCATTGGAGAAACAATTTTTTCCCAATTGGCAGCTATAGTTCAATTCATAGTGACTTCCAGAATTTTAACTTCAGATTTCCATAAATGTAGGCACTCTGGTTCTTGATTTCATTAGGCCCTGGGCATATTAACCAGGACTTACTGGCACTAGTCTATATTGAAAGTAAATGATAAGTAGACATTTATGGATAGGTAAGTGGTCAATTCAAAGTGAAAATGATGTATTTATATTTATTTATACCTTATTTTATTTTTTCACTTCATTGGCAAATATTTATAAAAAGCCTACTATGAACCACAATGAGATACCACCTCACATCTACTAGGATGGCTATAATTTTTTAAAAAGGCAGATAATACCCAATGTTACTGAGGACATGGAGAAGTTGAAACTGTCACACGCTGCTGGTGGAAATGTAAAATGGTGCAGCAACTTTGTAAAATAAAGTTCCAATTCCTCAAATTGTTAAACATAAAATTACTGTAAAACTAGTAATTCCAGTGGTAGGTTCATTTACCCAGAAGGATTGAAACCATTTGTCCACATAAAACCTTGTATGTGAATGTTCATAGCAGCATTATCCATCATAGCTAAAATACAGAAATGATCCAAATGACTATTAGCTAATGAAAGGATGAAACGTATGTCCATGCAATGGAATATTATTGGGTAATTTTAAAAGATAAAGAATTATACATGCTGCAAGTGGATCAACCTTGAAAACATTACACTAAGTAAGAACAATCCATTTATGAAAGTCTACATAGTACATAATTTCATTGATATGAAATTTTCAGATTAGGCAAATCTGTAGAGACAAAAAGGAAATTCATGGTTGGCTAGAGCCGAGATAAGGAGAAAAGGAAGTAACTGCTGTCAGGGTTGATGAAAATGGTAGTAAAATGGATTGTAGTGATGGTTGCACAACTCTGTGAATATGCTAAAAACCACTGAATTATACGATGGTATAATGGGTGAATTGTACGGTATGTGAATTATATCTCAATAAAGCTATTTTTAAAAACCTAGTGTGTGTGGCTCGGCGTGGTGGCTCATGCCTGTAATCCCAGCAGTTTGGGAGGCCAAGGCAGGCTGATCACTTGAGGCCAGGAGGTAGATACCAGCTTGGCCAACATGGTGAAACCCTGTCTCTACTAAAAAAATACAAACATTAGCCAGGTGTGGTGGTACATGCCTGTAATCCCAGCTACTTGGGAGGCTGAGGCAGGAGAATTGCTTGAATCCAGGAAGCAGAGGTTGTGTTGAGCTGAAATTGTTCCATTGCACTCCAGCCTGGGCAACAAGAACAAAACCGCCTCTAAGGCAAAAACAAAAACAAAAAACTACTGTGTGTTAGGTACTGTATTTCCTAAACAATGGAGTTCCCCAAAATCAAAAGATGTTTGGTTTCTTAGTCCTCAAGAAAATGCTACTATAAAAGCATTGCCACTTAGAACTAATATCCCTTCAGCTTTAGAAGATTAATAATAAGGAGTTCTGTGTTCTGGGATGAAGTTTTCCTTTTCCCATCTATGGAATTCTTTAAAATAAGGAATGTTGCAGAGTCAAGGGAGTATTATCCAGTATTATGGATGAAGTATATCTTCCTCTTATAATTGTAATGATGTCACAGTCAGGTGGGAATCAACCAAGGACCAGCATCTCAAGGGAGACCACTTGCTGCAGCTGATTTCCTGCCCAGGTGGAAGTCATTTGAAATATTGTGCTCATCTTCCTCAGGCCTTGCATGGTGCTCCTGGCACCCAACACAGGCATGGGAGCCTCCTTGGATAAGGGACTTAAAAGCAGTGAATTTCAGTTGAAATCAAGTGGGTTCCCTGACTCTGTCTCCAATAAAATGGTTTATTTTTTGTGCTTTCACTGAAATGTGGAGAAAATGTTATATTTATTGAAACATGTTTACATTCCAAATAGTTGCTTAATTCTTGTTTTGCTGCCTCTCTGCTTCCAGATTCTTTTCACCATTACTTTTTGGCTACTGCTGAGGCAGCACCTCACAGAGCAAAAAGCTCTGCAAGAAAAGGAAGCTCTTTTATCGGAAGTCAAAATTGGCAGTCAGGAAAATGAAGAGAAAGGTAAATTAGTACATATGCTAACTGGCTGGAGAGTTTGCTGCACAGCAAAATTACAGAGAAAGAGCCCCAAAATACAGCAGGAAACTTCAGAATAAATGGAAGTGGAATGTAAACTTGGAGCGTTAAGTAACATTATTATAGCTTGTAACTTTTGAAGTACACATGAGAGTTCCAAAGGAGTGTTTAAAATGTGCCATTTGATTCTCACAAAGGTGATTCCCAATGAAAGAGAAACTGAGGCTCAGAGAAATTAAATGGTTTCTCCCAGGTCATACTTATAGTGAGTATTGGAACCAAGAAACTGACTCACATCTTTTAAATTTAAAGCTTCTTTCTTCTTTCTTAAAAATAATAAACCACAATGTAAAAACAGAGGATGATGATGTTATCAACATTGATAGGTTTTAGACGTGCTATATAAGCAAAATAAGAAGAGCTTGTTCCCTAACTCCCTGAATACACCAATAATTGTAAGGTTAATATTTGTAGAATGGATTGAAGACTATTAGTGAGGTTAAGAAGCACTATCTGTGAAAAGAAGTCTATAAATATCCACAGAAGCTGGGCCGGTACCCTAAGACTAAACCAGTAACCGCAAGAATCAATACAGACCAACATATATATATATATATATATATATATATATATATACACACACACACACAGTCACACACACACACAATATGTATATAAAATATATAATAAAAAATATATATTTGTATAATATATATTTTATATAATATAAATATATACATAAATATGTATCTATATAATTCATATTACATATAATATTTACAAAATATATAATATATTAAACAT